GAGGGCGCGAAAATGGCTGCGGATGGGGAAAACTTCGCTTAACGGTGAGTACAGAAGCCATTGGAATGCATTAAACTAAGTTTAATGTGTTCCAATGGCATTTTCCATCCCGTTTAGCGATGTTTTCTTATAGCGATGGTTAATCCGGAACAGATTAACCTCGCTATGCGAGGCACCACTGTATTTGAAAAGTGCTATTATATCACCCCTCAGTCTTCTTTTATCAAGGCTAAACATGCCCAGCTCTTTCAGCCTTTTCTTGTAAGGCTTGATTTCCAGCCCCCTGATCATCCTTGTCGCCCTCCTCTTTTCAGCACTCACATAAGCATCTTGGCTTATGTTTCTTTCTGGAGCAACGGCCATTAGCCTAAAGAAGAAGGAAACAGGTGAGAGTTGCTAAGCTTCATGGGAACTGCAAGGGATAAGCGGACAGGTCGTTTTTTCAGAGTCCCTTTGTACAAAGCCTACTGAGCAAAGAGACTACTAATCCTGTAATCCCTTGCAACTCCCATGGAACAAAGTTCTTTTTCCTTCAGGTAACAGTCATCACTCCAGAGAGAGATTAGCCAAAACCAAAGGAGTATATACTGAAACTCCTCTGAGAATTGGGTTTTTGGCTACTTCTGCCAGAATTCTGTCAGGATAGCTCAATGGTATTCTCTACCTGGGAAACTCTGAAAAAAGACTGGCATAAATCAGAATTGACTTGACAGCACCTGATGATGATTATTACCAGAATTCTGGTGGGGAAAATTCCCTGGTGATTTCTGGGAGCTGTATTGTCACAAAGAAATCTGAAAGTCCCGTGCCCACTGGGTGTTTCTGCTCCCAGCCAAAAATCGGCTTTCTTCAACAAATGGGCATTGGAAAGGGCAGCGTAATCTGGCAAAAGTGTGTCTGTGGGAAGTCAATTGAGTTTGGATGCCTTGGAAGTAAAACAGGCTCACTCCTCAAAGCTTGCACTCTCCAGCCTTTTGCTTTAAAGTATAGCCCAGCTATTTCTAACTTTTTGAAGTTTTGTATCTTTCCTGTCTGCTGTGTCCAGCCTAAAGAAGAATCCGGAGTGTGCAGAACCTAGTATCTTAGAACAGTGGTTCTTAACCTTGGGTTACTCAGGTGTTTTTGAACTACAACTCCCAGAAACCCCAGCCAGCACAGCTGGTGGTGAAGGTTTCTGGGAGTTGCAGTCCAAAAACACCTGAGTAAGATATTTTTGGGGCCCAATGAAAGAGTCGCCCCTCCCCGGATTCCAGACTCTCCCCAGGCTCGACGTGCCTACCTTTTGTTCACAGTTCTCGGACTCCTGCAGCCTCAGGAGGAAGCTCTCGGCCAAGGCCAGGGCCTGGGCGCAGGTGGCCGGACCGCTTTTGCAGACCCAGATCTGCATCTCCAGAGGCAGGATGGTCAGAAACTGCTCCAGGATCACCAGGTCCACAATCTGCTCTTTGGTGTGTCTCTCTGGAACCAGCCACTGGTGGCAAAGCTCCTGGAGCTCGCTCAGAACCGCTCGGGGCCCCTCAATCTCCTGGTAGCAGAAGTGCCGGAAGTGCTGGCGCTTGATCTCCAAGGACTCTGCATCCTGCTCAGCCAGGATCTGTTCCTTCAACTTTCTAGAACTTTCCGAACGTTCGTAAGGCGCTTGCATTTTCCCGCTGAGGTCCAGTGAGGTGCCTGTTGACCTTCCATAGCCTCCTTGGGGCAACTGGGTGGTGTCTTTCATGGCTCGATAAGAAGCCTTAAACTCCTTCATGTCCTCCTTTGACAGAGGTTCAAATAACCTTGATGGTCTCCACACAGAGTACGGAGACAGGGCTGGGTTTCGGTCCTTCTCCTGCCGGCGTATTTCCTGTTGTGACGGTGGCCCCTCTCCTATTTCCTGCTTGTTTTGAGGTGGAAGTGTCCCATGTGTCTTCTCCTTAACAGCCTCTCCCTGGAGTACAGAACAGTCTCTTTCGGTTTGCTTCTTTCTTGGCCCTGATCCCAACAGATCACTTTCTGCCATTTTTGTTCCCGGCCGAACCACCTGAGCTGGAAAAAGAACATGAGAAATGCAACATGACGCCAGCCATACACTTGAACTGTGCCTGGTAGTTGTTATTTTGACTTTTTTAAAAAAAATCTAAGAATGTACAAACCAAATTCTCTCAGAAACAACCTGGCGATCCTGCTTAGTCTTTCAGAATAGATACCCTCCTTTCTGTCCCATCGCACCTAAGGTCTGGCAAATGGAAATGAAAGATGGGGACTTCTGAATAGAGGCACTAAGACTGTTCAACTTTGGAAGATCCACCAGGCTCTATCACTTTTGGTCTTCATAGTGGTGCAGAAAATACTTCATGTGTAAAATGTTCCTGGTTTCAATCTCTGGCATCTCCAGGCAGGGCTGGGAAAGATCTTGTCCTCCAGGAATGGAGAACTGCTGGCAAAACACAGATAGATCCAAGGATGGGCAGAAGACAGATCAAGAGGCCTGGTAGATTACAGGTTTGTTTGCAGCTGGTCAGTAATTATTTAACAACAATAACGGCCATCAGTCCAATACACTGTGGTGACCAGAGTGTTGGACTAGGACTTGGGAGATCTGGATTCTAGCCCTCATTGAGCCATGAAACCCAGTGGGCAACCTTTAGCCAGCCATTCTCTTTCCATCTGACCTACTTCACAGGGTTGGTGTGGGGGATAAGGAGGAGACACCTTTCATTCACTGGAGGGGGAAAAGGCATACTAATAGAGCCAGCAAATGGTATAAAGAAGAGAGATTCAGGTCATAAACAGAAACAAATTCCCAAGTACTGAGGTGCTGTGTACTGACTTCATTTGGCAGACCTCAAGCACAGAAGGTTGATCCTATTGTCTGAGATTTGCCCACATCTAACAGGGGTGATAGTGAGTGAGTGAATTAGACCAAGGATCAGACCTTGAATAAGTCAGCTTTGAATATTTTAATGATAATCAGAGCAGTCTTCTAAACCTCCAGATGGTCTTCAATATTTGAGCTGTACCAAGTTTTATATTTTCTTTCTTTCAGATTAGGACTGCCTTTCAGGGCCTCTGTACAACTGTAAAAGTAATCCAGCATATCTGAGAAAAGCTATATTCTTGGATCTGAGAAAAGCTATATTCTTGGACCCTAATTTCCTGGCATGGAGGACTTGTGGGGTAGACAGTGAGGTTGGACTGGCCAGAAAAAATTACTGTGCATACTGTAAAATCAAAGAGATCTTGCAAGACAAGAGCCCCTTAAAAACAACTAACCTTCATTCATTACCAGCTTCTAATTGTTTTAATTGGGGCCAATACTGTATTAGTGCCGTTCTGATAATGGTCATATTAGATGACCTCAGTCGTTCATTCTGTTTTGTTTTTCAATTTTTGTCTTTCTACTGACAGAAGAACATGATACATATTGAAAACTAACCCTATATAAATTAAGAAGGAATGAATAGGGAACCAGAGGTTGGGAGTTCAATTCCCCATTGTGACTCCACTGCAGGACGTCAGATTCGAGATGAATTTCCCACTGCGGGAGTGATCGTCCCGATTTGCTCCTACTGGACCTTGCTCCATCCCGCTTTTGCTTTCCGGAGGGATCATTGCCACACACCCTTTGGGAGAAGGGAGAATTCTCCTGTTCTTCTCATACCTTATATAATACAAATTTTATCGTGCAGCGTAGTGGATAGAATGTTGGATTGGCATTTGGGAGATGCAAGCTGAAGTCCCCACTCAGTCATGGACGTCTCTCTCTCTCTCTCTCTCTCTCTCTCTCTCTCTCTCTCTCTCTCTCTCTCTCTCTCTCTCTCTCTCTCTCTCTCTCTCTCTCTCTCTCTCTCTCTCTCTCTCTCTCTCTCTCTCTCTCTCTCTCTCTCTCTCTCTCTCTCTCTGTGTGTGTGTGTGTGTGTGAGAGAGAGAGAGAGAGAGAGGATGATGATCGCCTTGGGCCAGTCGCTGTTCTCTCTCAGCCCTGACCTACCTCACAGGGCTGTTGTGCAGGAAAAGGTGGGCAGAGAGGTTTTTTTTTAAGGTGAGATCCCGAAATCCTGATGGCCCACCTTTCCTTCTCCCACACCACGTGCCACGGCTAACTCTCACTTTAGGACACCGGCAGGTCTACTCAGGAGTCAGCCCCGCTTTCCTCAATGGCTCCTTAAACAAGGAAGGGCAACCCAGGATCGCCACCCCGAACCGTAAGGAATTGCGCCTGCCACGGATCCCCTCTTTCAGGATACCCCCGTGGGTCCGGGAAAAGGTGCCCACGATCGCAGCCTTAAACCTGGATAGCCTTGGGGGAAGAGGGAGGATGTCTTATGCCTGCCTTCCTCTCCCGCCACCCCCAGCCCCATAGGAATGCCCCTCCCCTTTGCCTTGCCTTGCCTACAAAGTTCAAGGGATCCCCTCCGGGCTGGAGCTCACCTTTCCCTTTCCGCCGCTGCATGGCCACTCCTAGGGACCTCACAGCCCCTCCGAGGCTCCCAGGATGGAGAAACATACAAAGGACAGTTTCTCACCCGAGGAAGGAAGAGTGCAGGACAGGAAGGAGGAGGAGGAGGAGGAAGAGGGGACCCATTCCCACGTCTCTCTCTCTTCCCCCCTCCCCTCCCCTCCCGCCACATTCCTAGCCCTCTCTAGGCGACACAACTCTGTGTCCTTAACCCCTTGAGAACCGTCACGGGCGCAGGAGATCGGGGATAGGGATGGTGTTGTGTTTGTTGCCGTCTTTTAAATCCATAGGATCCATCACGGGAAGAACAGTTACATTAAGACGCGAGGTCACCTCATCGGGGGATCGTGACCCTCCCCAAGGGGGACGGTGTGACAAAGTCTTTTCCAAGGGGGCGG